GCTAACCTCCCACCTCAGCCTCTTGAGTAGCTGGGACTATAGGTGGGTGCCACGAGGCTTGGCTAATTTTTAAATTTTTTGGAGACAGGGGTCTCACCATATTACCCACGCTGGTCTCAAACTCCTGAGGCCAAGTGATCCTCCAGCCTCAGCCTCCCAAAGTGTTGGGATTACAGGCATGAGTCACTGTACCCAGCCTAGTTCAAGATTGTTTTTGTTCATCTGAGTCTCTTGCATTTCCACATGAATTTTAGGATCAGCTAGTCCATCTTTGCAAAGTAGACAGCTGAGAGTTCTGACAGAAACTGTGTTGAATCTGCAAGGCTGACCTGTAGATCAGTATGGGAATACTGTTATCTTAACAATATTAATCTTCTGATTCAAAGACAAGGGATGTCTTTACATTTATTTAGGGTTTAATTTTTCAATGATGTTTTAGAATTTTCAGAGTATAAGTTTTACACTTGTTAAGTTGCTAAGTATTTTATTTTTTTGATCCTATTGTAAATAAAGTTGTTTTCTTAATTTCATTTTTGGTTTGTTGATTGCTACTGTATAGAAATACTACTCATTTTTTAATATTAGCCATTCTGAACCTTTGTTGAACCTGTTTATTAGTTTATTGGTTTTTATAGTAGGTTCCTTAGGTTTTTCTACATATAAGATCATCCCATCTGTGAAGAGTTTCACTACTTTTCTAATTTGCATGCCTTTAATTTCTTTTTCTTGCCTAACTGCCCTAGCCAGAACCTCCAATACAATGCTGAAGAGAAGCGGCAACAGCACTGCCACTTCCAGAAACAATCAGGAACTCATCTTGGTCCTGGATCTTAGTGGGAGAAGCCTTCCATTTTTTGCCATTAGGTATGATGTTAGCCATGGGTTTCTGTAGATGCCCTTTAACAGGCTGAGGAAGTTCTCTCCTGAGTTTTTGTTTTTACTAGAAGGGGTATTGGATTTTCTCAAATGCTTTTATGGAAACGATCATGTGGTTTTTGTCCTTTATTCTATTAATACAGTGTATTACATAAACTGATTTTCAAATGTTGAACCAAATTTGCATAAATCCATTTGGTCATGGTATACAATCCTTGTATGTTGCTATACTTGGTGTGCTAGTATTTTGTTGAGGATTTTTGCACCTATAATCATAAGAGATACTGGTCTTGTGATGTCTTTATCTGGTTTTGGTATCATGATAACATGATCTCAAAGAATAAGCTGGGAACTGTTCCTTCCTCTTTTATTTTCTATTAGAGTCTGGAAAGTATTGGTGTGAATTCTTGAAACACTTGGTAGAATTAACCAGTGAAGCCACGTGGGCCAGGACTTTTCTTTGTGGGCAGTTTTTCATTATTTATTCAATCTTGTTGTTACAGTTATTTCAGGTTTTCTATTTCTTCCTGAGTTAGCTGCGGTAGTTTATGTCTTTTAACTGGCTCATTTCATCCAGGTTATTTAGTTTATTAGCTTACATGGTTTATAGTATTCCCTTAGAGTCCTTTTACTTTCTTTTTTTTTTTTTAATGTACCTTCTTTCATTTCTAATTTAGTAATTTAAGCCTTTCTTTTTTGGTCAGTGTGGCTAAAAGTTTGTCAACTTTGTTGATCTTTTTCAAGATTACCTTTTAAAAAATCATCTTTGGTTTTGTAGATTTTCTCTATTGTTTTTCTATTCTCTATCTCACCATTTTTCACTCTAATCCTATTACTTCCTTTTCCTCTTGAGATGTTTGTTTTTTTCCCAATGACTTAAGGTAGACGTTCAGGCAATTTAGATTTAAAAATGTAGGCATTTATAGCTCTAAAGTTCCCTCGAAGTACACTTTAGCTGCATCCCATAAGTTTGATATATAGTGTCATTTTTCATTTCTCTCAAAATATTTCCGTTTTTTTTTTTTTTGACAGAATCTCGCTGTCACCCAGGCTGTGGTGTGATCTCAGCTCACCGCAACCTCCGCTTCCAGGGTTCAAGCGATTTTCCTGCCTGGACCTCCTGACCTGAAGCGACCCACCTCCTTGGTCTCCCAAAGGGCTGGGATTATAGGGGTGAGCCACCGCGCCCAGCCTCAAGATATGTACTAATTTTGCTTGTGATCTCCTGTTTGACCCGCTGGTTATTTAGAAGTACACTGCTTAATTTGCATGTATTTATTAATTTCCCAAGTTTCTGTTATTTATTTATAACTCACCCCACTGGGATTTGAGGACATACTTTCGTACAATTTTAATCCTTTCAAATTTGCTGAACTTTTTTAACAGCCTAGCATATGGTCTATCCTGGAGAATGTTCATGTGCACTTAAGAATGTGCATGCTGTAGTAGTTGGGTGGAGTGGTCTACAGTGCTCTGTTAGTCCTTGTTGGTATACAGTGTTTTAAGTCTTCTGTTTTCCTGTTGATCTTCTGCTTAGTTTTATCCATTATTAAAAGTAGTATGTTAAGGTCTCCAGCTGTTGTTTTTGAACTACTGCTTTCTTCCAATCTGTTAGTTTTTGCTTCACGTATTTTTTGGGGGCTGTTTTTAGATGCATACGTGTTTATAACTGTTATATCTTCTCGATGGTTTCACCCTGTTATTACAAAATATCCCTATTTTGCTCTGATAAGAGTTTTTGTTTTAAAGTCTCTCCAGCTCTTTTGGCTTGGCGATGGTGGCTCACACCTGTAATCCCAGCACTTTGGGAGGTCAAGGCAGGTGGATCACCTGAGGCCATTTGAGACCAACCTGGCCAACATGGTGAAACCCAATCTCTACTAAAAACACACACAGAAATGAGCCGGGCGTGGGCTCCACGCCTGTAATCTCAACTACTTGGGAGGCTGAGGCATGAGAATCGTTTGAACCCAGGAGGTGGAGGTTGCAGTCAGCTGATCGTGCCATTACACCCCAGCCTGGGCGACAGAGTGAGACTCTGTCTCTCCAACTTTTTAAAAGTACAGCCTCTCCAGCTTTCTTGTGGATGCTGCCTGCATGATACATCTTTTTCTGTCCTTTACTGTCCTATTTTATCTTTGAATTGAAAGTGTGTTTTCTGTAGGCTGCATATAACTGGATCTTGTTTTCTGATCCAATATAACAATCTGTCTTTTGAATGGTTAAATCGATTCACATTTAATGTTATTACTGATAAAGCTGGACTTACTTCTGCCATTTTTTTGTTTTCTGTAGTCTTGTGTGTTTTTTTGTTCCTCAAAAAAAATTTTTTTTAAATCTGAAAAATATTAAGATGTATGTGGTAAGCAACTTTTTTTTTTTTTTTTTTTCCCTGATAAGGAGTTTCACTCTTGTTATTCAGGCTGGAGTGCAATGATGCCATCTTGGCTCCCCACAACCTCCGCCTCCCAGGTTCAAGCGATTCTCCTACCTCAGCCTCCCGAGTAGCTGGGATTACAGGCATGTGCCACCACGCCCGGCTAATTTTGTAGTTTTAGTAGAGATGGGGTTTCTCCATGTTGGTCAGGCTGGTCTCGAACTCCCGACCTCAGGTGATCCGCCCGCCTTGGCCTCCCAAAGTGCTGGGATTACAGGTGTGAGCCACTGCACCCAGCCAGCAACTTCTAAGAAAGTAACTTGGGAAATACGGTGAAGAAATAATTGAAGGAGATATGTTATACTAGAAAATATTAATCAAAAGAAACATTAAAGCTTTCCATCTCTTCTGGTATTACATCCAGCTGTTAGGCTCTATTAACTGCTGTCTGAATTCTCGACTGTTTTTGACAATGCCCTGGAGTATACACTGCTCCCAAGTCTAATTCAATTAAATTCAGGAAGGGGTGATTTTTGAAATTGAGCTTTGTTCTGACCTTAGGAGAGTTCTTCTCAGCTGTCTCCTTCCCTGGTTCTCTGGTGAACTAGCTGGCCTGTGCATCACCTTGTTCTTAATTAAGAAGAGGTACCTGGCTGGGCATAGTGGCTCATGCCTATAAACCTGGCACTCTGGGAGGCCAAACAGGGTGGATCACCTGAGGCCAGGAGTTTGAGACTGGCCTGGCCAACATGGCAAAACCCTTCTCTATTCAAAAAAAGAGAAAATACAAAAAATAAAAGAGTAAAAAAAAGAAGAGATACCTGTCTCTTTTTATTTGCTTACCATCAAAATCTCAGGCATGAACTTCCCTAGACTCTGTTCTTACTAACTGCCTTTCTCTGTGGGCAAATTCTCAGAGCAGGGTCAGTAGCCTCTAGTCTTCTGGGCTTGCCTTTCCCAGTGCAAAACCTCTGTACATGAGCAAGCAAGCTTAGGCAAAGGTGATCACAGCCATAGAATTCTTAGCCTGAAGTATGTGGAATAGAGCTTCCATACCGTGAGTGCAGTATGGAGCTGGGTGGAAGAAGGAAGCCTCTGACCTCCTTGCCATACTTACCGAGAACTTAGCCTCTTCAATTTGGAGCTGGAGGGAAGAAGAAAAGCTGGTGGCCTCCCACTCCCAGTGAGATACCTATTCCTCGTTTGGGAGCTGAGAATTCCTGGGTTTGTGTATTCTGAACCTGCTGGCCAGAATCGAATGCTTTAGGGATGGGCACCTAACCAAAGATGGGCCAGAGTTCTTTACCAGGAAGCTGCAGCTGAGACTGGGAGTCTTCTTATTTAATAGGCAGTCTTCTGCCTAGTCCCATCAAGGGGACCACGAAAAGACAGGGCACAGTAAGACAGAAGACTAAGAAACACTGTAGAAAGAAAAAGAGATAAGGAGAGAAGTTTCTAGGTTCCTAAGAATGTTCTGGTTACTGGTTCTTATCAGTCCCTGAGACACAGCTGTCTCAGGTCTGCAACAAAGCCTTTCTCCCTGAAATCAAGTCCACTTTGGGGAGTTCAATGAGGTTTCTGTAACCAGCTATCAAAAGAGTCTTAATAGTCATGGTCTAGAATTGCCTTGAGGAAAATACTACTTTGAGCAAATCTCCAATTAATCCTCCTTGGAAAGGAGAGCAAGAATGGTCCCAGGTGCTCATGGAAAAGCTCCCAAACACTCAGGGGACCCATCCTTCCATACCTTGATTGTGCTCTGACTCCTCATTGGCCACTCGCATCAGGGCATCTAGCACCAAAGCATTGTCTAGCCATGTGTACCACTCCTCCAACTCCTGAAGGAAGCTGGCTGTGCCCGTTGACTCTGACACCTTTCGAGTCGCCAGTTTGCAAAGCCGCTCAACAAAGCCAGGGATGCTGAGAAGGGCCGCTGACAGGGAAAGAACAAGCGAGGAAATTTTCAAAACAGAGACCAGCAAAACTACCCCTAAAGCCCTAACAAACAATCTGCATGATAGGAATAATTCTTACTCTGATAGTAGCTAAAGCTACTCTTTTAAAATGAAATGTCAAGCCAAGGTAAATAGTAATTATGTTACAGGCATAAGCTCAATTTTTAGCAGGTACAGGGAAACAGTCTTTTTAATCTACTGGGAATGAATATTAGAATAATCTTAATGCCTTAAATTTGTGTGTCTTTGAGCCAAGAGGTCAATTTCTGGGGATTTACCACAGGGAAATAACCAGTCATATTACAAGAGAATATCTGTGTAAGGAGGTTCACTGATGTGGTTTCTGTAACAGCAAAAAGGTGAAGATAACTAAATGTTCATCAATAGCTGATTAATTAAATACAATGATACATTTATACAATGGAACACTGCATAGATACTAAGAATGATGACACATACATCTTTATACAGGGACTCAAAACAGCTGTTTACTTGTTAGAGAGAGTAAATTATTTAAACAATATGAGTTTAATTAAGTTCATTTTCTTCAAAAATTTAAATATTTACTTCTTTAAAATACACAAATAAGGAATGAAAACATATATACCAAGGGATTTGCTGTGGCTGTTCCTGAGTAGGAAAGAATATAAACATTTCTCTTAAAATTACTCATCTACAGTTTCTAATTTTCCTATAACATTTACTGGCAGGATGAAAGAAAATAAACTTTTTTTTTTAAGGTAAAGAAAAAAACTGAATAATCACCCAATTTTTCTTTCCACCAGTCTCATTTAATTCACAATGAGTGAGGTGGAAACTCTGATCGGCATAGTAGAACATCACAAACTTTGGAGGCAGGGAGATCCAGATTCACATCCTGACTCTGTCATTTAACCTTCTTTAAAATGAGACTAATGCCTGTTCATGTTTGCCTGAATATGCATTAAATCTCTCTGGAAGGACAGAAAAGCAGCCAAGAGCAGTGGCTGCCACAGTAAACGGCCATAAGATGGAAATAGCCAAAATGTCCATCAAGTGGAAAAGGGAGTTTAGGTCACTGGGAATAATAGTGGAATGGAAACTTTTGAATCCGCAGATTTTTTGGAACCATGTGAATATTACACCTAATTAAAAATTAATAAATAACTAGATATTTCAGGATATCAAGGAATTACCATTAATTTTTGATATGATGACAGAGTTATGTTTCTTAAAAGTCATTATCTTGTAAAAACACTGAAATATATGCAGGTGAAATTATACAATGTGTGTCTGGGGTTTACTTCAAAATAACCCAAGGTGAAGTAGGGAATAGTGAATGGGAGTAGAGATAAAGTAAGACAGGCTTGAACTCCTGGACTCAAACTATCCACCCACTGTGGCCTCCCACAGTGCTGGGATTACAGACTTAAACCACTGCTCATGGCCTTTTTTTTTTTTAATAAATGAGTTTTAAAAATTTTTTATATTGACAAGGCTAAGCGCAGCGGATCATGCCTGTAATCCTAGCACTTTGGGAGGCCAAAGTGGGTGGATCACTTGAAGCTAGGAGTTTAAGACCAGCCTGGTCAACATGGTGAACTCCGTCCCTACCAATAATACAAAAATCAGCCAGGCGTGGTATCGTGCGCCTGTAGTCTCAGCTACTCAGGAGGCTGAGGCATGAGAATTGCTTGAACCTGGGATGCAGAGGTTGCAGTGAGCCGAGATCGCACCACTGTACTCTAGTGTGGGCAAGAGTGATACTCTATCTCAACACACACACACACACACCCTCCCTATAAATTAGTGAGTGGCTATGACGTTTGACTTTACTTATACTACATTAAGGTTCCTCAAAAAGTCAAACATAAAATTACCGTATGACCCAGTATATTTCACTCCTCTATATATATACCCCAAAGAACTGAAAACAGGTGCGCACACAAATATGTGTACACACACGTTCATAGCAGCACTATAAGATGAAAACATCCCAAATGGCCGTTAACTGAAGGGATAAACAAACTGTGGTATCTACATATGATGAGTATTATTCAGCCATATAAACGAATGAAGTACTGACATGATACAACATGAATGAACCTCAAAAACATTATGCCAAGTGAAAGAAACCAGATTCAGAAGGCCATATGCTATATGATTCTGTTCACAGTCATGCACGGCATTAACGCTGTTGCGGTCAATGACAGACCATGTAGAAGATGGTGGTCCAATCAGATTATAATACTGTATTTTTACTATAACTTTTTTCTATGTTTAGATACACAAATACCATTATGGTACAACTGCCTACAGTATGTAGTACAGAAACATGCTGTACAGGTTTGCAGCCTAAGTGTATCATGGGCCACACCAGCTAGGTTTGTGCAAGTACACCCTATGACATTCACACAATGACAAAATTGCCTCACTGCATTTCTCAGAAGGATAGAGATTGCTAAGTGGCACATGACTGTATATGAAGTAATATGAATAGGTAAATCCACAGAGAAAAAAGCAGAACGGTGGTTGCCAGCGGTTGGGGAGAAGGGGTAATGGGAAGTAGCTGCTTAATGTGTACGGGGTTTTCTTTTGGAGTGATGAAAATGTGCAACTAGATAGACGTGGTAGCTGCACAACACTGTAAATTTATGAAATGCCGCTGAGTTCACTTTAAAATGGCTAATTTTATGTTATGTGACTTCCATCTCCATAAAATAAGTACGCAGAAATAGATATCTGTTTGAGACACCTTTTTTTTTTTTTTTTTTTTTTTTTAACATATCAGCCTGGCAAATATAAAAAAGTTTGATAATGCTCTGTACTGGGAAGGCTACAGGTAACAGGGTGGGAAGATGACAAGTAATTTCTTTGGAAGGTGAATTTGTCAACACATCGATTTCCATTAATGAGGGACTAATTAAACTATGATATGCCCGTATAATAAAATACTATGTAATTACAAAAAGGAATCATATAATTCTATATATGCTAGAGTATAATTTTTGGCAAGGTAAGTTTAATAAAAAGAGACAGAGCAGGCCGGGCGCGGTGGCTCACGCCTGTAATCCCAGCACTTTGGGAGGCCGAGGCGGGCGGATCACAAGGTCAGGAGATCGAGACCATGGTGAAACCCCGTCTCTACTAAAAAATAGAAAAAAATTAGCCGGGCGCAGTGGCGGGCGCCTGTAGTCCCAGGTACTCGGGAGGCTGAGGTAGGAGAATGGCGTGAACCCGGGAGGCGGAGCTTGCAGTGAGCCGAGATTGCGCCACTGCACTCCAGCCTGGGCGACAGAGCGAGACTCCGTCTCAAAAAAAAAAAAAAAAAAAAGAGACAGAGCAGTGCTTATTTTATATTACCTATTTACATTACCATCTGTACAAACAGGAAGGAATCAATCTCTCTCTCTCCCTCTTTTCCCCATCCACGATTGGGCATGGATAGAATATCTTTGGAGGGACGTTTAAGAAACTGGTAAAAAGTTACCACAGGGAGGGGGACAAACTCTCTGCTGTACTTTTTGTACCATTTAAAAAAAATCTTAGGTGTATATTATTTTTCCTAAAAACAAATAGGCTGGGTGTGGTGGCTCACGCCTGTAATCCCAGCACTTTGGGAGGTCGAGGTGGGTGGATCACCTGAGGTTGGGAGTTCAAGACCAGCCTGGCCAACATGGCAAAACCCCATTTCTACTAAAAATACAAAAAAATTAGTCGGGCGTGGTGGCACATGCCTGTAGTCCCAGCTACTTGGGAGGCTGAGGCATGAGAATCGCTTGAACCAGAAAGCGGAGGACGCAGTAAGCCGAGATTGTGCCCAGCCTGGGCAACATAGCCAGACTCAGTCTCAAAACAAAACAAAACAAAACAAAGCAAAAAAAACAAAAAAGAAATAAAAAGAATTTGTATTCTACATGAAAATCTTCACAAAGCTGGATTTTTATTCTTATACTTCTGTTCTCAGCAAAAGTAGCTCCCGCTGCTTGACCTGCTCCTCTCAGGACAGCATGTAGGAGCTAGTCTTCCCCATTCCTGCACACTGAACACACTCCTCCAGATGGGAAGTGCCCAGCACTCAGGGTTATAAGTCAGACTTCCCACCCGAGATTCTTGAGCTGTTGTGGGTCACTCACCTCCTGAAAAGCTAATGAAAGCTACAGACTGTCTCCCTGGAAAGAAATTCGCTGGACTAATCATACCTAGCAACTCATACACAATCTCATGGGCTGACACCCCAGCATATCCAGTCCTTGTAATTCTCACAGCTTTAGCAGTAGCTACCACACCTGGCTGGTTAATGGTAAACTAACAACTAAATCACTCACAACTCCTGGGAATTTCTGCAGAAGCAGGCCTCTTCTCTCCTCTCACTGTTGAAACATCAGTATTCCCCACACACTCCGGTAGTCTCCCCTCCTGCTTTCCAGCTTCATGTGCTGCATAATTCAGCCCCTCTCAGCTAAGTGTCACTTATAAATTGACAATTATCTAGCCTATAGCTTCATTTGCATCTCTGCTAAAAATCTTGAAAGATGTTACTTTCCCCCAGAAGGAAACCAGTTGTTCTCTTCTGAATCGACAGAAGGAACAACTGGTAGTTCTGAGAATCCCAAAAAGGACTCAAAAAATAATGATTTATGCGATCTTCCCGGAGGTCAGATAATTTACATTAGATAATTACATGTAAATTATCTGACCTCCAGGAAGATCGCATAAATCATTATTTTTGCTGGGCAAGAAAATGACCTCACAGTCACAGTTTATTAAAAACAAAATGAAAACTTTTTGGCAACATCCTACATATTTCAGCTTTCCATACAGTTATGGACTGTATCCCTCCAGCCCCTGCAAATTCATATATTGAAGCTCTAGCCCCAAATCTGACTGCGTTTTGAGATAGGCCTTTTAGGGAGTGTGGTGGTGTGATGGTTAATTTTTGCTGTCAATTTGACTATACTGTGGGATGCCAACGTGGCTGGCACAGCACTGTTTCTGGGCGTGTCTGTGACGGTGATTCCAGAAGAGATTGGTGTATGAGTCTGTGAACTAAGGGAAAATCTGCCCTCAATGTGGGCAGGCACCATCCAATTGGCAGGGGAGCAGTGGGAGGCGATGGAGGAAAACCAAAAGGGATTCTCCCCTTCTGGAGCGGGAAGTTTTTCTCCTACTGCTCTTGGATATCAGACTCCAGGATCTTAGGCTTTTGGTCTCTGAGACTCGCACCAGCAGTCTCCGGGGTCCTCCAGCCAGGGAGCTACACCATCAGCTTTCCTGGTTCTAAGTTTTCTGGACTTGGACTGAGCCATGCTAACGGCTTCTCAGGTTCTCCAGCTTGCAGATGGCTTCTCTTTTATTTTATTTATTTATTTTTGGAGATGGAGTTTTACTCGTTGCCCAGGCTGTAGTGCAATGGCGCAATCTCAGCTCACTGCAACCTCCGCCTCCTGGGTTCAAGCAATTCTCCTGCCTCAGCCTTGCAAGTAGCTGGGAGTACCGGCGTGTCACCACGACTGACTAAATTTTGTTGCAGATGGCTTATCATGGGACTCCTCCGCCTCTGTGATCATGTGAGCCAATTCCCCTAACAAATCTCCCCTCATAAATCCTACTGCTTCTGTCTCCAGATCTGGAGACTGCTGCCTAATACAGGGAGGTAATTAAGGTTAAATGAGGTTACAAGTGTGGGGCCCTAAACGGAGAGGACTGGTGTCCTTCTAAGAAGAGGAAGAGACACCAGAGATCTCTGTCTCTCCTCACAGACGCAGAGGAAAAGTCATATGTGGATACAACAAAAACGTGGCCTTCTACAAGTAGCCAGGAAGAAAGGCCTCACCAGGAACCAATCCTGACAGCACCTTGATCCTGGACTTCTAGTCTCCAGAACTGTGAGAAAAATAAATGTCCGTTAGTTAAGTCACCTAGTCTATGGTATCTTGTTATGGCAGCTCAAGCTGACCGACACACACATCTGAGATAAAGGCATTCGCTACTGGAGTGCAATTCAAGAATGACAACATTCAGAGGACTAAGACTTTTCTCACCCACTCATGATTTAATTATGTCCACTGGCTTGGCCTGCCCAGGGCATTTGAATGGAGAAAATCATGTGGGTAAGGGAATGGAGTAGGAATTACCATCAGAGTCGGGAGGAGTCAGACCCTGCACAACCTCATGGGTGGAACCTACAACATTTAAGCTTTATTCCAAAAGCTACAAGCAGAATCACATATAGACTGTCTACTACGTTAGTCACACAGGTATGAAAGTGAATCTAGATATTTTAGAGAGACTTAAAAAAAAAAACCTCCCAAATAAAAAAACAAAAACAAAAACTGAGCTTTGGGTTCTCAGTTAATCAAAAAAGCCCAGCTGACCAGAACAGTTCATTCCTCAAGAATAATGGGTAATGCTGGTTTTACATAAGTCAGTTTACAAATAGGCATATGAAGGCAATCAATACTAACAGGATCAAAATCATCTGCCAGAATAGATTCCTTAAATGGGAAACTAAAAGGTGCAAGTTACTTGTGCCTTGGCATACACAGGTATCCCATACAGAACCTTTCTAGCCCTTAGTTTCCTCACATGTGCAATGGGGATACTAATCTCTATTCCACAGGGCACTTGAAGGATTAAATAAAATCACTTATAGGTAAAGCAGTTAGCTCAGTGTTTGCCATGTATCAGGAGCTTAGCAAATACTACCTTTTGTCAATGTATATGGAGGTGTGTACACCAGTTCTGAGGTATAATTCAGTTATAATGAAAGTCACGTATTTTTTTAAAAAGGCAATTTCCTAAAATGAGAACTCCCCGCAAATCATAAAGGAGTGGGAAGAAAACTGTACACAGACCAAGGAAGACCTTGTATCTAGGGACATAGGAGGAAAAGCAAACCTGAAGAGATAATAAACAAACTGTGGTCAGAGTCTGCAAACCTCTACCTTTACATATGACTACAACATGTAAAATTATATTCCCTAATAACCTACAAAGTATAGTTATGACCACCTCGTATTCCTAACTAAAACTAGACAATAACAGAGTGAATGGCGGGCTCATATTCAGCCTCAGGAGAGGAGGCTGCTCTGAAGCACCTGACAACTCTGCAGAGCCAGCCTGGGGAATGCACACAACTGGACTTCAGAAACAAAGAACTGTTTTCAGAGCATGATTAGGGCTACCTCTGGATGGTTGTGGTTTTCCGCTGCTGCTTTTTAATGATGCATTTGTATTATTTTACCTTGTTTATTTGGTGTACCCTAAGGTACACCAAAGGCTTTTGTTTGAACAGTATTTCTAGCATGTTAACACTGAAAAACTAGCTTTTAAGATCCAAGTTTCAGTTCAAATATGAATTATCTACACTCTTACGGCCAAAACACATATATGTCAGTTTCTCCAAAATCTGTGCAGGCAACAACATTTTAGAAAGAATACAGTTCTTTTGCTACTGAACAGAAACAGGTGGGGTAGGTTGGTTAGAATAGTGTTTTGTTTTTAAAGTAATATATTTACACAGTTCCAAAATCAAACAATATATGAATGTATACAGTAAGAAGTCCCACTCCCACTGCTACTACCTTCCCTTACCTTCCTTACTTCCTATTAACAACCACTTTAGGTTTCTTGTGTATCCTTTCAGTTTCTTTAGGCATACCATATGTGAGCAAACGTAGGGTCTTATTCTCCCCCAACTTAATACAAAAACTATCATATCATACACACTGTTCTGTATTTTCCTCTTTATCATTAATATATCTTGGAGATTTTTCTATAGCAGTACATAGAGATCTTCATTTTTTCAAAGCTACATAATTTTCCATTATATAAATATTGAATACATTAAGCAGTCTAGTGTTAATGAACATCTGGGTTGTTTTCAGTCTTTCGTTATTACAATGGTGCAATGAATAATAATTTTTTTTTTTTTTGAGACGGAGTCTAACTCTGTTGCCCAGGCTGAAGTGCAATGGTGCGATCTGGGCTCACAGCAACCTCCGCCTCCTGGGTTCAAGCAATTATCCAGCCTCAGCCTTCCGAGTAGCTGGGACTACAGGCATGCACCATCACAGCCAGGTAATTTTTATATTTCTAGTAGAAACGGGGTTTTGACATGTTGGCCAGGCTGGTCTTAAACTCTCAACCTCAAGTGATCCTCCTGCCTCAGCCTCCCAAAATGCTGGGATTACAGGTGTGAGCCACCGTGCCTGGCCTTAATGAATAATCTTGTACAGTAGTCCTCCCTTAGCCAAGACCCCCACAGTGGATACTTGAAATGGCAGATAGCACCAAACCCTATATATACTATGTTTTTTCTTATATACATACATAACTATGATAAAGCTTAATTTATAAATTAGGTACACTAAGAGATTAACAACAATAACTAATGATAAAACAAGACCATTATAACAAGATGCTGTAATAAGAGTTATATGAATGTGGTCTCTCGCTGGAATTTTCCAGTTAATATTTCGGATTGCAGTTGAACAGGTAACTAAAACCACAAAGTGAAACTGCATACAAGAAGGGACTAGTGTCTACACATCATTATCTATAAAATGAAGGCCCAGGACTTAGTAGATCAAAAAGTATATGCATTTGTAATTCTGATAAAAAGTAGTTCTTAACTTTTTTTGTGGTTCTGAACCCATTAACAAATCTAATGAAAGGTATGGAACTTGGTTCCCAAAATAATGAACAGATACACAAAATTTACATACTAGGAGCCTTCACATGGATCCATCTCTAGAGATATTAAAAAGGGGTGCCAGGTGTGGTGGCTCACACCTGTAATCCTAGCACTTTGGAAGGATGAGGTGGGTGGATCACTTGAGCCCAGGAGGTCAAGACCAGCCTGGGCAACATGGCAAAACCCCAACTCTACAAAAAATACAAAGATTAGCCCGGCGTGGTGGCACCTGCCTACAGTCCCAGCTACTCGGGTAGCTGAGGTGGGAGGATCACCTGAACCTGGGGAGGTCAAGGCTGCAGTGAGCCATGATTGTGCCACTGCATTCCTGCCTGGGTGACACAGTGAGCTCCCATCTCAAAAAAAAGAAAAAGAAAAAAAAAAAGTTAGATGATTTAGGAAAGGCCTCAGAGCTATAATCTCAAAATTCTGAGAACTTGGAGACTTTACCTTGATTGATTTCAGCTGCAGAAGGCCCCAAACTCAAGCTCTTCTTCTGTTGAGCATTTTTGGCAAGAAGCGTGTGCTTGTCATCGTTCCCTGTATCCATCTCTGAAATGGTGACAGCCAGAATCCGGCAGAAATTAGCGAGCTGCTGCTGATCGAAATTGGATACTAAGGAACTCAGATTGGGGACTTCATCTAGTCGGATCATTTCCTACAGAAGACAAAAATGAAACAATCTCCATGCTCAATTCACTCAAGAGATTGGATGTGCCTCTCTTTTGCATCCCCCTAAATATGGGGCTCAGTGGCTAGATCACTTAGGTTCCTATCCCAGCTCTGTAACTTGCAGCTCCGAAACCTTAGTTAAGTTATAAAAACCTTTCGAGTCTTTGCTTGTTCATCTGTAAAACGGGACTAACCTGCCTCATGGGATTAGTCTGAGGACTAAATTTACCTTTTGATCACCACTGTTTTCACTTGTTCTTGTGGTATATTTTGCCTACTTTTTTTAAAAATGGAAATGCCTACCACTCAAGTTTTGCGAATCATAAATTACCATTCTTACTACAGATTTTCTTCTTAAAAAAATAAAACACTTCAAATATAGCTAAAGTACTCTGTGTATTCCCCATCCAGTCGCATTTTCCTATCTCCTCGCAGAAGTAGCCATTATTTTGAATTTTGTGTTTATTATTCCCATGCATGTTTTTATACTTACAAATATTTCCATTAAAATACATGGTACTGCTCTGCATGCAGTGTGAATGATACCATACTATACCTTACTTTTCATCCAACATTTTGAAGTTTATCTACACTGATACGAGCAGCTGATTCAATCACTTCCCACCGTTTTACTCCACAGTTTAATCATTTCTCTTTTCTTTAATAGACAGGGTCTCACTCTGTTGCTCAAGCTAGAGTGCAGTAGTGTCATCATAGCTTACTACAGACTCAAACTCCTAGGCCCAAGCAATCCTCCCACCTCAGCTTCCCAAGTAGCTAGGACTACAGGTGCGTGCCATTACACCTGGCTAATATTTTAATACTTTTTTTTTTTTTTTTTGAGATGGCATCTCAATCTGTCGCCCAGGTTGGAGTGCAGTGGCGTGATCCTGGCTCACTGCAAACTCCACCTCCCGGGTTCAAGCAATTCTCCTGCCTCAGCCTCCCAAGTAGCAGGGATTACAGGTGCCCACCACCATGCCTGGCTAAGTTTTGTATTTTTTAGTAGAGGTGGGATTTCACCATGTTGACCAGGCTGGTCTTGAACTCCTGACCTCAGGTGATCCATCCACCTTGGCCTCCCAAAGTGCTGGGATCACAGGCGTGAGCCACCGCGCCCGGCCAGTACTTCATTTTTATAGAGAAAGTGTCTCACTATTGTTGCCCAGGCTGGAACTCCCGGACTCAAGCAATCCTCCCACCTTGGCCTCCTAAAGTGCTGACGTTACAGGCGTGAGCCACTGTGCCTGACCCTTTCTTCTTGTAACACATATTTAGGTACAGTACAGTTTTTCACCATTAAACAATGTTGCAATGAACATTCCTACAGGTACTCTCCATGTACACATACATGACCATTTATCCAGAGTCAGAGCAAGAATTGTCTTTTTCTTGACTTTAGTAGAAATATTTCCAAAACATTTAAATTAAGTTTAATGTTTGCTGTAAATTTTTAATAAATACCCTATAGCTGTTATATTTTAATAAATACCCTATATATAGTTTCTAAGTTTTCCTTCCATTGCTAGCTTTTGTTAGGAATGATAATTTTATGGAATGCCTTATGTTATTTGGTTCTATTCTCATTTATTACTCCTTCAAATCTGTAAATGTCATGTACTACATGAGCTTTTCTCATTTTGAACCATCCTTGTGCTACTCAGGTAACACCTGCTATCCTTTATCCCACTAATTTACTTCCACTGGATTGGGTGTTTCTCTCACTGCACAGATCACATGAACTTTTAACAATCTGTTCCTGCATCTATTTCCCAAACAATCTGACCATACTTTGACGAAGGCACATATCCTACTCTTTCTCCTGAGACTCAATGTACAGGACCTGGTAGCAACGGTATCAGTGAATGTGCCTGAAACAAGTGCATGATTCCTAGAAGCTCCCATGAATCCCACACTCCCCTCTATTTCTAGTAATGGAGGAAGACAGGAATTTGCTGTGTAGGGGGCACTGGGGAATGGCTGCTTCCACCTGTCCTTTTCCTTAGTACAAAACAAATGTCAGCTACTGCTATTATTGGCAACTGTAACTTTTAGCTCACCAGTTCCTCTAGCCCTGTCTAACTTAGTATATGGGTACCAAAACAGGTCCTACCACCCCCAGCCCACTTCTTATGGTTGTTTTATATTTTAAGATTTTTTTTTTTTTTAAGGCAGAGTCTTGCTGTGATACCCAGGCTGGAGTACAATGGCACAATCTCTGCTCACTGCAACCTCTACCTCATGGGTTCAAGCAATTTTTCTGCCCAGCCTCCCAAGTAGCTGGGACTACAGGCATGCACCACCACGCCTGGCTAATTTTTGTATATTTTTAGTACAGACAGGGTTTCACCATATTGGCCAGGCTGGTCTCCTGACCTCAAGTGATCTGCCCACCTCGGCCTCCCAAAGTGCTGGGATTACAGGCATGAGCCACCGTGGCTGGCCAAGAATTCTTATGTTTTAATTTTTGATACATACAACACATATTATGCAGCATAACAAAATGACTAGCTGTGTGTGCCTTTCCTATGGCATCTCTCTGCCTCTGGGAACCACTATCATTAATAATTATTGCCTTGCCATTTAAAAACCAGTTTTATCAGTAAACAATTTGCTTTTTTGAGCTTTATGAAAATGATACGCTACCTACAGTGTTCTGCAACTGGCTTCTACCACCCGATTATTTCAATTCCTCGGCTATGTTGTTGCTTATGGCAACAGTTCATTCTTCTACTATATAATATTCCACTGTGTGAAGAAAGTACATTCATCCCTTCTCCTATTGATGGATCAGAGACTTGGTTTCAGTGTTTTGTTCTGAAACAACAAAGCTATAAATGTTCTTGGGTGTTTCTTGATGCACAGGTGGAGAAGTTTTGCTGGGGCAGTGGCTTCCAAACTTTTTAGCTATCACCAGGAATGACCACCAGTAAACATACACATGGGACTGTATATATAAATGTCAAACAAAAACTTATTCAAATAATACCCTTACACAATACAGTTTGCTCTTTTCTATCTGACTGATAGACCCGATGGATTGATTTCACAACTTTCTGGATTTCAATCCTAAGAATCACTGTTCTAGGACTGAGCTTCCTCACAAGTGTGTCCAGGCACAGATTATAGGTGACCAATGGCAAAATACTGATGCCTCAGCCCTCAGGGCAAAGCTTCCCTAGGTGCTGGGGCACAAGGTATATGGCTGTTCAACTACAAAACAAAAAAGAGAATATTCTGCTGATAAACATTTATCAGTAGTATGCAAGTGTTTCCACTGATACATATACTCACCAACATTTGCCCACTCTCCCCCTCACTATGGTATTGATGTGCATTTCCTTGATTGCCAGTGAAGTTACGCATCTTCTCTTTTATATTTATGGGCCATTTCTTTCTCATCTGTGAAATGCTTGTTCATAACATTGCCCATTTGTCTACTGGGCTATTTGTCTTTTTCATGCTGATTTGTAAGAATTCTTTTTTTTTTTGGAGAGGGAGTCTTACTCTGTTGCCTAGTCTGGAGTGCAGTGACACAATCTTGGCTCACTGCAACCCCTGCCTCCCAGGTTCAAGCAATTCTCGTGCCTTACCCTCCCAAGTAGCTGGGATGACAGGTGTGCACCACCACACCTGGCTAATTTTTGTATTTTTTAGTAGACACTGAGACTGGGTTTCACCATGATGGCCAGGCTGATCTTAAACTCCTGACCTCAAGTGATCTGCCTGCCTCAGCCTCCCAAAGTGTTGGAATTACAGGCATGAGCCACTGCACCCGGCCTGTAAGAATCCTTCATAAATTCTGAATACAAATCCTTTGTTGGTTACCTGAATTGCAAATGTCGTTTCCCAGTTTATGGTGTTTCCACTTTCTTTATGGTGTCTATCCCCCTTTCAAACTACACCAAGATATCCATAATGTTTGGTACAACATGTCACCATTTTGGGGTACACAAAAAAGAATGAGAGGGAGTGAGAGGCAAGTGGGAAAAGTCATGAAGGAGCAATTCTAGACTCCTATGCTGAGACTGCTAAGGAGTCTGGAGTTTCTACTCTGGAGGCCCCCTTTCACATACTGGCTGGAACACACAATTACTGGAATAACAACAAAGCCTTTTATCGAAGGGCACAAAGGGTCTGTCTGGGGCCTGCACACATCTCCAATGTGTTCCTGCAGACAATAGGCCACTTGTGCTGGGCAACGACAAGCAAGGCCTGGGGAAAGCACAGTAAGAAGAAATGAAAGCTGGGGTCACCACAGTGCACGTGAACACCCACTTCCCTGCAACAGCCACCTCTAGGAGGCTGCTCAACAGGAAGAGAAGGAAATCTGCCAACCAGCAAACAACATGGAGGCTCAGGACAGATTAGGACTGAGGAGGTGAGCTCCAGATCCTTATAAGCATTACACCAAAAATGTAACACAGTGAGTCTCTAACAGAGGTCTATGAATGTATTTTTGGGTACCTGTGAATTCTTGAAATTTTTAATTTAGTTTTCATTTTGATCATAGTTTTTTTAAAAAAGGTTATGGGTCATCTGATTATCAACCTGATGACCAAGTGGCAGGATTTCAGAGCTCCCATTTGTCTCCTACTGTGCTGGTGCCAATTAACCAACTTTAATTGTTGAAGACTAATGAGAAACGATAGAGGCAGACTTCATAAGTGAAAGCCAAACATTACTACCAAGGGGAACATATCCCTTGGTAGTAATGAATGAAGGCTTCACAGCAGTTCAGATAGCGGTAGAGAAAAGTGGTAAGAGAATGGAGTCACTGTACAGCATACAGTAGCATAGACATGCTACAAAGAACTTGCCCCATGGTAATGAGTGAGGGGCAATTTGATTTCAGCAAAGTAACATGCGGCATCACACTACATTCACAGAGTCAATCTGAAGTTCTGAGTTTTAGAATTAGTTTGCTTTCAATGTATATGTTTGTTTAGGTTTTACAGTCATGAAAGAACCACTAGTATAAGGGGTAATCCAGGTTTACACTTGAATATATCTAAGTAACACAAGACATAATTTAACACTTTCTTTTAAAAAAGCTTTGTATATTATTCAGGTTTGAGAATCCAATGGTCTGAGACACCCTTCCCCATCTGGTCAGCTGGAGGACACAGCTCACCTTTTTAACACCCAAAATATCTTCAATGAGGGTTGCTGTTTGTAAGAATGTCTTCTTACTTGTCATCAGTGTAAACAGGAAGATCACAAAGTCATTCTTTTCCGCCAAACGCTTTGTAACTCCCTCCGTCTGTCACAAGAAGAAAAGGCAGAATAAGTTGTTAAGGACAAAATAAATTATGAAGAACAAGGCATCCTTTACCGACAGTGAAAAGCAATTTCACCTCTGAAAACTGGCATGAGTCAACAAAACGGGAAGGGCACGACTTAACTGTGGGAAACATTCGTTAACTCCCCAGCCATGAAAGAAAAAAGCTTCCTGACATTCAGGCTACACAAGGGGAGCCCACTTGTGAGAACATAACACAATCAGATGGTATTTCCTAAGATAACTTATCTCAGAGTTCTGAAGGCCATTATTAAATCTGAAATCCAACAGTGCCAAAGCATGGACTTAAAAGTCAGACCCATGTTCTAATTCCAGTCATGTGATCCTGAGCATATCACTTCTCACCTTTGGAACTCCATTTTTTCATTAGTAAAATGATCATCTTAAAAGTCTTTGAGGCCAGGCACGGTGGCTCACACCTGTAATCCCAGCACTTTGAGAGGCCAAGGTGGGCAGATCACTTGAGGCCAGGAGTTCGAGACCAGCCTGGCCAATGTGGCAAAACCCTGTCTCTAATAAAAATACAAATATTAGCTGGGTGTGGTAATGCACGCCTGTAGCCCCAGCTACTTGGGAGGCTGAGGTAAAAGGATCACTTGAGCCCAGGAGGTGGAGGTCGCAGTGAGCCAAGACGAGGCAAATGCACTCTAGCCTGGGCAACAGAGGGAAACCTTGACTCAAAACAAACAAAAAACCCAACAACAACAACAACAACAACAACAAAATCCCCAAGGAGTATGAAGGAAGTAAGGAAACTAGCTGGTTAAAGACCTTAAAACTTAGGTTCAAGAGTTTGGACTGAAAACTGCAGTACTGTCAAGTGCAGTGGCTCACACCTGTAATCCCAGCTACCCAGGAGGCTGAGGTGAGAGGACAGCTTGAGGCCAGGAGTGTGAGGCCGCAGTGAGCTACAATCTCACCACTGCATTCCAGCATGGGGACAGAGTGAAACCTTCTCTCTAAAAATAAAGAAACTGCAATACTGCTAGCTTACACACACACACCTCCCACCCCTACTGCCTTAAGGCAACTAGAGCTTAGTGGCTTTAATATTTCTTTCTTTTTTTTTTTCAGCCTCTAAACTGAAAAAATTCCAAGGCTTACTGCAATAAACTTGACCTCTCCCTAAAAAGTATAATCAAGTGTACAGACACACACAGTTTGGTAAATGGGAACCCCAAGTTAGGAAGCATTTCAGAATCAGTGAAATGAGGTATGTCACAGCAAATTTAAACTTCTTTCAATTTTAGAGACAGGGTCTCACTCTGTTGCCCAGGCTGAGGCCATGACTATTCACAAGTACAAATATAGCTCACTGAAGCCTCAATCACCTGGGCTCAAGCGAGCCCCCCACCCTCAGCCTCCCGAATTGCCAGATCCCCCCACCTCAGGCTCCTGAATCACTGGGACTACAGGCGTGCACCACCACACCTGGCCAATTTAATTTTCAAAGTGAAGGCATCAATAAAGATGTGCCAAGTATATAAATCTTCAACGATCCCATTAAATAGGACACTAAAGAAAGTAATCTCAGTCTGTACTGATACATCTCTGTTCTTCAGTTGTAGCACTGACACATTAAAAAAAAAAAAAAAAAAAAAAGAGAGAGAGAGAGAAAAAAAGGTTGTATTCCCAAACTACATACAGTACCTACACTGGCTACGAGATGTGAAACAGGACTGACTCTACTTTTACTTAGACAAGCAAAAGTTCTGGAAGATCCAAAGAAACAGAACAAAAAGAGAAATAAATTTATCACTTTCTCTCTATCTCTAGGCTGTCAAATACACAATCCTGCTGCTCTAACTAGCTACCCTTCACTACCCACCTTTCTCCTCTCTTCAATTTATCAAAGTACTACTCCTTTTACAGACTGGCTAAAATGACTCCTCTTGGAAAGCCTTCCTAAGTCAAGACTGGCCACCAAAAAGGCCATCACAGTCCTTCCTTTCCTCTACATCACAAGTTCTTAACTGAGGCCAAAAAGCACTAAAACGATATATAAAATGTTGCATGCAACTACTGGGGAGAGTTTTTTCCATATAATATTCATCATAGGTTTTTTTTCTTTTTTAAGACAGGGTCTCACTCTATAGCCCAGGCTGAATGAGTGCACTGGCACAATCATGGCTCACTGCAGCCCTGACCTCTCAGGCTCATGCAATCCTCCCACCTTAGCCTCCTGAGGAGCTGGGACTATAGGTATACAACACCACATCCCGCCAGTTTTTTATTTTTTTGTAGAGACATTCTCACTATGTTGCCCAGGCTAGTCTTGAACTCCTGGACACACATGATCCTCCTGCCTCGGGCTATCAAAGTGTTGAGATTATAGGTGTGAGCCACTGCGCCCAGCCTAATCAAAAGCTCTTGACCTAGTATTTGTCAAGTATCTAAACAAGGAGCTACAAACTAGCATTCAGTAGGCCAAGCTTTTTCTGACGAGCAGTACTGTTTTTTTTTTTAATATTTTATTTTTTAAGAGAGTCTCATTCTGTCACCCAGGCTGGAGTGGAGTGGTACGATCTCAGCTCACTGCAACCTCTGTCTCCTGGGTTCAAGTGATTCTCCTGCCTCAGCCTCCCAAGTAGCTGGGACTACAGGCATGCACCACCACGACCGGCTAATTTTTGTGTTTTCAGTACAGACGGGGTTTCACCATGTTGGCCAGGGTGGTCTGGAACTCCTGACTTCAGGTGATCCACCCACCTCAGCCTCCCAAATTGCTGGGATTGCAGGTGAGAGCCACCATGCCCAGTCAAGAGTACTTTTTAAACTTTTGAATTCAAACATCTTTAGACAGGACACACTTGCTTCAGTTTAGTCAGTTTACACAAGTCCCCTCTCCAACACCAGCAATTCCAAACATTTCCTGTTTTCTGCCTGATCCCTGGAGGCATTGGTGTTTGAAATCCTAAGAGCCCTAATTTCTCTATGTAACATGGAATTCAGCCAGATAGCACATAATTGGACCATATCATCCCATGTTGCTTAAAATTTTTTTTTAATTTTATTTAAAAATACTTTTAGTTGATACATAATAAAAGTACATAATTTCAGGAAGCATATAATTTAATACATTCATACAATTTATAAAGATCAAATCAATGTACTTGGGATAGCCATCAGCTTAAATACTCGTCTTTTATGTTAAGAACCATTCAAATTCTCTTCTATTTTGAAATGTAAAACAGATTATTATAAACTAAGTCACCCTTACTGATTTATCCTAACACTAGGTCTTATTTATCAACCCATATACTTGTACCCATTAATGAACTTCTCTTCATACATTTTTTTTAACTTAACTGTTTTATTGGAATGTCACTGATTAACAATAGGTATCATGATTTTAAAACAGCCTCATAAAACTACTGACTATATGGAAGTTGCCAATGATAGAGTCATTATTTTATACACTGTCTTCTTCTATAAGGACAATTTCTTTTTGGCCTTAGTTGCAAGAATTGTGCATTTCCTGAACAATTTGTTTTTTATCTTATAGATCTCCCTGTGCCTATCTCTGTCATTAGCTATACATGGCTACTGAGCACTTGAAAGGTGGCCAGGCCAAACTGAGATGTGCTCTGGTGTTCAAATGAGAAGGAAAAAAAACCAAAAAAAACATTGGATTTTGAGAGCTTAATACCAAAAAAAGTATCTCATTAATAATTATTACATGTTAGAATGACAATATTCTTGATACACCGTGTTAAATAGAATTTATCATTAAAATTAGCTTCACTATTTCTTCCTACCTTTTTCTTTTTAAAAAAGTGGCTACGAGGAAATTTAAAATAACCCAAGTGGCTTGCATTATATTTCAATTTTACAGCACTACTATACATGCTGAATTATATAAGTGTTCAAACAGATTCCTCTATTTGTGTTGGCTGCTAAGAAGCCTGAAGCCAAATTTGTGCCCATCCATAATACAGATGATTTTATGGTCTTCATTTTTATATCAGCCCAATTCCTGGCTACATGTTATGTCCCCACCCTTGTTTTATTTATCTTCTTCTTTCTTACCTACTTCTAAGTTCGTGATCTTGGTAGATTTTGCATACACCCACAAGATGCCAGAAATCTCATTTTGAATGAGGCAAGAAATGAAATGGAGCTCAGTGTTTCTTTTTTATTTCCACAGCATACAGGGTTCACATCTATAACACTCGTCTCATTCTGCCATGTATTATGATTCACAGATTACATAGTTTATCATAAGTTTCTAAAAGGTACTGTGTCTTATAAAAATTAACATTTATATATTGTTTTACAAAGTGTTTTCACATCTACTATCTCAGTTCTCACAATAAATCTATGATGTTAATATGACTGCTAACTGCACTCTATTGGTAAGAAGCTACGGCTTGGGAGGTATACTAAGCCAAGGGCCAGAACACAAAATCAGGTCGTAACACTAAGTGCCATCCTCTTTTGTTTCTACTAAATTGCTTCCTTTATTCACCACTCTTCCTGGCTCAATGGTCAACCTAGTAGAGAGTCCTGCTCAATATATGGGCGGGGGGGGGGGGGCCCTTCTGGTTCTCATTTTGTTCTCTAACAAGGAAAATGAAGAAATAGGCATAATGGAGTTAAAATGAGTCTTAAAGGTCACAGTCTGCCAAAGCTTGTCATCTTTTGACAAGTGTTCAGTTTCTACTCGGACAGCTCCAAGCTCCAAGGCCAAAGGAGTTTACTACCTGCTGCAGCAGTTCTGGCTCTTAACAACTGCTACAAAATTCTGCCTCCCTTAATTTCTACCAGTTAGTCCTGATTTTCAGGCACACATAAAATAAGCCCGATTCCCTCACTATCTGAAGACAGCTCTCACATCTGCCACCCCACCCGAATATTCCCATCTTAACCCTTGCAGATCTGGTAGGGAGATACGTGGAGCCCTAATGGCAGGGTACTTACACAGACACAGGTATTATACAGGATACTCAAGCAGTCCTTGGACATTTCATCACTTACTGAAAGTTAAAGGGTAATGACTGGTTATTTTTCTCATTGAAAAGATAGTACAACAGTTACATTTTTTTTCAGCATAAGAACTGTTATAACCCCCTCCAAGATGATGATTTTTCTTTTAATATACTCCTTCCAGTCCCTGTCTACCAAAGATTTTCATAGTGTACATCAGAATCTATAAGCCCATTTGCATATTGCTTTTGGTTTGATACAGCAGTTGTTTTCTTATTATGCCCCAAAGTCTTCATAATTTCAACCTGTTGTTGTGCCATCATTTAATAAAGCCATTTTCCCTTAATGTCTTGCTTAGGATATATCTACGATTTGGGGTTTTTTTTTTGGCTATTTAAATAGACCACAAATAAGCAACTTAATACATATGTGTATCCTTTTAATGTTTGTATTAAACTGGTTCCTCAAGATACATTTTCAAAAGCAGAACTACTAGAATCTAAAGTATAAGGATTTTTTTCTGTTCATTTGTTTTGGTTTTTTAAAGATGAGGTCTTACTCTGTTACTCAGGGGCAAGATCACAGCTCACTGTAGTCTCGAACTCCTAGGCTCAAGCAATTCTCCCTCCTTGCCCTCCCGAGTGGCTAGGACTGCATGCGCGTGCATCACGCCTGACTAAAAGTTAAAAGTATAAGCATCTCAATTGCTCTTGTTATAAATTTCCACTGAAAGTTCTATTAGCAGCAAACAAATATACCATTTTTATCAGACTCACTAACCGAGCATTTCTTTTTTTATTGCTGTTATCTGTATTGGGCAAATGGCTTTTCATGTCTGATCTATTACTAATTCTAATAAAGAACCTACTACTTCCCTGTGAGCAGGAACAGGAAAGCAGCATAAAAAGGAAACTTAATTTTCATAAGCCCAAAACCAAGAGATGATGAAACTGAGTATGAACCATGGACAAAGTGTTTTATTTGGCACTGCTTCTATTTTTAAAAACTGTTTCCATTTGCTCCTAAGCTGCCAGGAATGCTAAAATGCTAGGTCTCCTTCTCAGATCCCAATGGGCAGCCCCACTAAGCTAGCCTGACTAGACGGGTTGCCTCACATAATCCTGAGACAATGTAGATGCTCTGCATCCCTTATCACCACCTTTCAACCTACTGGGGCTCTGTGATTGATTTATTTAACGACTTCAGAGCAGGGTAAAACACTGCTCTGTATGTCTCACTATATATCTCACTATTTCTAGATCCTCCACTTTTAAAAGGAATTAGGATTCACTCATTCATCAAGTATTATTCAGCATCAACTCTAGAGCAGATACAGTGGTGAGGGAAAAAAAAGTTTCAGCTTTCATGGAACCTATAAATCTAGTGGGAGGAAGAGAGACTAAACAAGTGCACCAACAAATAATTACAATATGCTACTTGCTGTAAGGGTAGATAGAGAACACGAAAGATCAAGTTAGACAGAATACATAGTTGAGGCATTAAAAATGAATATAAATCCTCTTAACCACTACTGCATGCACAAATGAGGCCTTATATAGTGTATAGGACCCCTAATAGGTTAGGGGTAAAAAAAAAAAAAAAAAAAAAATCTTTTAAATTGAAAAAATGCAAAGCTGGTAGGAGGGCATTCACCAAACATTAAACATTAATGAAGTTATCTCTGGATTTTAACACCAGAGTAAAGTGCATTCGCTTTTTTATTTTAAATTAAATACTGAAGCTGGGTGTGGTGGCTCATGCCTGTAATCCCAGCACTTGGGAGGCTGAGGTGGGCAGATCACTTGAGGTCAGGAGTTCGAGATCAGCCTGGCCAACATGGTGAATCCCCATCTCTACTAAAAAATAAAAATAAAAAAATTAGCCGGGTACGGTGGCGGGCGCCTGTAATCCCAGCTACTTGAGAGGCTGAGGCAGGAAAATCACTTGAGCTCAGGAGGTGGAGGTTGCAGTGAGCCAAGATCATGTCACTGTACTCCAGCCTGGGCAACAGAGCCAGATTCTGTCTCAAAAAAAAAAAAAAAAAAAAAAAAATTGTATACCTAAAAAGAATATTTGTAACATGTGTTAAGTCATAAAAAACAATAATAGAATATTACCCATATATCTACCGCTCAGCTTAAGAAATAGTGCATACCAAAACACTCTGACTTCTTACCATTCACACTCTAGTAATGACTGAACTTTTTACAAAGAGCATATATCACCTTTCTAACAAAAAATAAGTTTTTAAAAAATAAAACAGAGTGATCTTACCAGGTTATTGCTTACTCTCTCAGCTAGTTATATATGAGAAATAAGAATTTCCCAAGGAAACATAGAAGCTGGATCACAGGACTATCAAAAGTACAAAGATGTATCCTTTTAACCCAGATCTGAATTTCTACGCAGTACAGAATGAATAAAGATAGTTGCTTAGCTGGGGGAGGAGAGAGCAACCTGTAGCTGAAGGTAAGACATGTCCTCAGTATTAAGAGTCAGGAAGGGAAGGAAGAAGGCAGCTGCTGGGAACTGCTACCATATTGGCATGCTGGAAAACAAGGACCAGCAGCTAACAGGTATACTTACTTTTCAGTTTCTGTCCCCGGATAGAGATCGTAGGCCTCATAAGAATTTCTACAAGAAGCTATAAAAAAAATTAGATAAAATCTTCAAAATTAATTCAAAGCATAACTTATAAAATGATTTTGCCATAACTATTCATTGCCCATATATCTGTCACAGTATTACAAGACCCTTTTGTTCCAGGAGGCAGTAAGGTTCAGTAAAAGCAACACTGCAGCAAGTCAGGAGACCCAGGTTCTAGTTCCAGCTTGGCCACCTACTTGCCCTTCTCTGGGCCTCAGTTTTCTCATTTTTGAAAAGAAGTATTTTAGAGTAAGTAATCTCTGTGATCTAATGTGGCTTTAATTTCTGAAAAGCTGCAGAACATTATTACTATGATTCTTCTGTTTAAAGCACATTTGTAAGTGTAAGTTTATTTAAAAAGGTCTCAGAAGATACACCATAAATTGTTAACACTGATTTCTACAGGGTTGGGTATGCATGTATTTTTTATTTTACATACTTTTAATCCAATTTTGCACAAACTGTTTAAAATAAGCATGAATTTAAAAATTCATTCTACGGAGAGAAAGGACAGCTGATAAAAGGGTCAATCCATTAAAAAGATAACAACTACAATCACATATGTACCTAACAATAGAGCCCAAAAATACATGAACCAAAAGCTGGCAGAAATGAAGCAAAGAGATAATTCAAAAATAAAAGTTGGACACTTTAATAACTCTGCTTTCAATAATAGACAACTAGGCAGATTAGCAAAGAACTAGAAGACTTGAACACAATGAACACATACATTCTAACAGACATCTACAGAACACTCCATGCAGCCGGAACAGAACATACATTCTACTCAAGTGCACATGAAACATTCTCCAGGACAGATCATATTTCAGGCCACTAAACAAGCCTCAATAAATTTAAAAGCACTGAAATCATATACAGTATGTTGTCTGGCCACAATGGAATGAAATAAAAAAGAAATTTGGGAAATTCATGAATTATGTGGATAATTAAAAAAACCCATCCTAAATAATAATGGGCCAAAGAAGAAATCATAAGGGGAAGTATAAAGTATCCAAGATGGATGAAGACACCAAAACTTACGATGTAGCTAACGGAGTGCTCAGAGGAAAATTTATAGCTGTAAATGCCTACATTAAAAGAAATTTTTTTTTTTTTTTTGAGACAGTCTTTCTCTGTCTCCCAGGCTGGAGTGCAATAGCCCGATCTTGGCTCACTGCAACCTCCACCTCCTGGGTTCACGCGATTACCCTGCCTCAGCCTCCAGAGCAAAAAGAATTACAGGTGCCCACCACCACTCCTGGCTACGTTGTGTATTTTTAGTAGAGACGAGGTTTTGCCATATTGGCCAGGCTGGTCTCGAACTCCTGACCTCAGGTGATCCGCCCACCTTGGCCTCCCAAAGTGCTGGGATTACAGGCGTGAGCCACTGCACCCGGCCAAATAAAATTGTTTCTAATCAATAACCTAATCTTCTGCCTTAAGACACTGGAAAAAGAGCAGACTAAACCCAAAGCAAGCAAAAGGGAGAATAAGAGTTGAAACAAATGAAACACAGAACAGAAAATAACAGAAAATGAACAAAACCAAAAGCTGGCTCTTTGAAAAGACTGGCAAATTCTTAGCTAGACCAACCAAGAAAAAAGGGGAGAGGATACAGATTACTACACTCAGAAATAAAGGAGAGGGCATTACCACCAAGCTTATGGCAACAAAAGTCATTATAAGGAACTACTATGAACAACTGTATGCCAACAAATTAGATAACCTAAATGAAATGGACACATTCCTAGAAAGACATAAAACTATAAAAACTGACCTAAGAAGAAACAGAGGCTGAGCATGGTTGTTCCTGCCTGTAATCTCAACACTTTGGGTGGCTGAGGTGGAAGGACTGATTGAAGCCAGAAGATTGAGATCACCCTGGCCAACATATCAAGACTCCATGTCTCTACAAATAAAATAAATTAGCTGGGTGTGGTGGTATGCCTATAGTTCCAGCTACTCGGGAGACTGAGGCAGGAGGATTACTTGACCCCAGAAGATTGAGGCTGCAGTGAGCTATGATCATGCCAATGTACTCCAGCCTGGATGGAAGGGCGAGACTCCATCTGTTTAAAAAAAATAAAGAAGAAGAAGAAACAGAATATCTGAATAGCCCTAGAGCAAGTAAAGAGATTGACCTAGTGATTACAAAAAACAAAACAAAACAACAACAACAACAAAAAACTATCCATAAAGAAAAACCCTGGACATGATGCCTCCACTGGTGAACAATACAAGACATTTAAAGAATCACCAATTCTTCCCAAACTCTTCCAAAAAACAGAAGAGGAGGAAACATTTCCCAACTCACTCTTTGAGGCCAGTATTACCCTGATACCAAAACCAAAGACATAACAAGAAAACTACATATGAGTATCTCTTACGCATATATACACAAAAATTCTGAAAACCCTAGCAAACAAAATCCAGACACATATAAAAATGGTTATAGTCCACGCATGGTGGCTCACACTTATAATCCCAGCACTTTGAGAGGTCAAGGCAGGAGGATTACTTAAGCCCAAGAGTATGAGACCAGCCTGGGCAACACAGTGAGACCTTGTCTCTACAAAAATTAAAACAAAAAATTAACCAAGCATGGTAGCATGCACCTGTAGTCCCAGCTACTCAGGAGGCTGAGATGGGGGGATCGCTTGAGCCCAGGAGAAGCTGCAGTGAGCTGTGATCATACCAATGCATTCCAGCCTGGGTGACAGAGAGACCCTGTCTCAAAAAAAAAAAAAAAAAAAAAAAAGGATTATACGCCATGACGAAGTGGAATTTATCCCAGGAATGTAAAGTTGGTTCAACATATGAAAATCAATATAGTACATCATATCAATAGAATAAAGGACAAAAGCCAAAAGCCACACAGTCATCTCAACAGATGCAGAAAAAGCATCTGAAAAAAACCCAACACACTTTCATGATAAAAGCAATCAACAAGGAATAGAAGACAACTTCTTCAGCCTGATAAAGGGCTTTTATTAAAATACCCACAGCCAGTATCATGCTTAACAGTGAAGACTAAATGCTTTCCCATTAAGATGAGGAAAAAGACAAAGATGTGCACTCTTGCTACTTCAGTTTAACATCGTATTGAGTGTTCTAAGTCAATTAGGGAAAAATAAAAAAAGAAATTAATGGCACCCAAATTGGAGAGGAATAAGTAAAACTAATTATTTACAGATGTCATTTTTTTTTTTTTTTTTTTTTTTTTTGAGACGGAGTCTTGCTCTGTATCCCGGGCTGGACTGCAGTGGCCGGATCTCAGCTCACTGCAAGCTCCGCCTCCCGGGTTTACGCCATTCTCCTGCCTCAGCCTCCCGAGTAGCTGGGACTACAGGCGCCCGCCACCTCGCCCGGCTAGTTTTTTTTGTATTTTTAGTAGAGACGGGGTTTCACCGTGTTAGCCAGGATGGTCTCGATCTCCTGACCTCGTGATCCGCCCGTCTCGGCCTCCCAAAGTGCTGGGATTACAGGCTTGAGCCACCGCGCCCGGCCAAGATGTCATAATCTAGAATATAGAAAATTCCTAAGGAATCCACTAAAAAAACTATTAGAGCCAATAAGCAAGAGTTCAGCAAGATTTCACAATATGTGATCAATATACATAAATCAACTGTATTTCTACAATTGTAGCAAGAAGCAATTCAAAACTGGAATTACGAAAGCAATTCCATTTAAAAGAGCATCAAAAACAGTAAAGATACTTAGAAATAAGTTTAACAAGTACAAGACTTGTACAACAAAACATTTTTGAAAGAAATTAAAGACAATAAAAAAATGGAAAGCTATCTTGTGGTTCATGGATCAGAATATTTAATATTAAGATGATAATACTCCCTAAATTGACCTACAAATTCAATGCAATCACTATCAAAATCTCAGCTGGCTTCTTTGCAGAAATTGGCAAGCTGATCCTGAAATTCACATGCAAATACAAGAGATGCATAACAGCCAAAACAATCTTGATCTGTAAATACAAAAATAAACCCCTGTGTCTATACAATCAGTTGATTTTTGACAAGGTTGCCGAGACAATTCAATAATGAAAGAGTAGTTTTTTCAGTAAGTGGTGCTGTGACAACTGGATAGTCACATGCAAAATAATGAAACTGGACCCCTGCCTCACATGATAAACAAAAATCAATGCAAATGGATCAAAGATCTAAATGTAAGATAAAAAATATAAAATTCTCAGAAGAATACACAGGTAAATCTTTGTGACCTTGGATTAGGAAATGGTTTCTTAGACACACACCAATACCCAAGCAACAAAAGATAAAATGAACTTCATCAAAAGTAAAGACTGTGTTTCAAAGGACACCATCAAGAGGTGAAAAGACAGCTACTTAATGGGGGAAAATATTTGCAAATTACAAGATATTAGTATCCAGAGACTAATACAACTCAATAATAAAAAGACAACCCAAACAAGAAATGGAGAAAGCAGATGAATGCACATTTCTCCAAAAGTCCAATAAATAAACAGATGATCAACATTAGTCATCAGGGAAAAGCAAAACAAAACCACAATGAGATACCTCTTCATACCTACCAGGATAGCTATGATGAAAAAGACAAATAACAACTATTAGCAAAGATGTGGAGAAATTAGAACCTTTATACATTGCTGGTTGACATGTAAAATGGTGCAAGTGCTTCAGAAAGCAGTCTGGCAGATCCTTAAAAATTAAAGAGTTACCAGCAACTCCACTACTAGGTATATACCAAGGGAAATTTTTTTTTTTTTTTTGAGAGGGAGTCTCGCTCTGCCGCCCAGGCTGGAGTGCAGTGGCGCGATCTCAGCTCACTGCAAGCCCCGCCTCCCGGGTTCCCGCCATTCTCCTGCCTCAGCCTCCCGAGTAGCTGGGACTACAGGCACCCGCCACCACGCCTGGCTAATTTTTTGTATTTTTAGTAGAGACGGGGTTTCACTGTGTTAGCCAGGATGGTCTCGATCTCTTGACCTCGGGATCTGCCCGTCTCGGC